AGGTCAGATAATGTGATGTTAGGAAAATGAACCCTTAAATATGTATTTTAATGTTTTTTTCTTTCATGCATGTGTTTCTAACGCATTTATAAGATTATTTCTTTGTTGCTTTGTATGTCCCTCCCCCACAGTGTAACCCCCGCTTTCACTATATTTGATGCCAGTATAACTTGTGGAGGAGATGGGGAAAAACAAGTCGTTTAAGGATTCAGGTGGACCTGTTGCAACAATGAGAAGTACAAAATGTCATGTCAAAAATGAGCTTTACAATGTCGGGGGGGGGGGGGGGGGGGGGAGGGGAAAGATTTGGGGGGGGGGAGGGGGGAGGCTGGGAAGGGAGGTAAAGGGTAAACAAAGGAGGAGGCTGCAATGCTTGGTAAGAAATGTATGCATTATCCTGTCCATGTAATTGTAACCCCTCTGTACAGTATGTTCTCAAATAAAATAAAATAAAATTAAGAAAAAAATTGAAAGAAAAAAAAAAAAAGATAATCTGCCAAGTCAAATATCTCCTCTTGCTGGTAGGACTGGTCTCCAGGCAGGTGGAATTTGATGTATGCTTAAGACAATGGAGTCTGTTATCCCTTTTGTCTTGTTTAAGCTTATTTATCAATGACTACCCTGGGAAGAGTTGAAGAAAAGAGTCTGTATCAGGGAAAGATGAAAGGTTCCCTTTTGAATGTGGAAGATCCTTTAAGCCCACATCCCTTTTTTTTTTAAATATCTCCTCAGGCTGAAGACCATCCTAACCTCTTGAGGTAATATTTCACATATTAATTCTAAGCACAGAGTTTTGAAATCTGAGACTGCATTCACTCTTACCATGTATTGCATTTCAATAGCTTCAGTCTATAACATCAAGAGATATTGTTTCCTCACAGAAATGGTTATGTGGATAGACTGCTAATTAGGTCCTGGGCCTTAGGTCTCTATTTGTATTTCAGTTTTACAGATGAAAGGTTCTAACCTGTTAAGCTGTGTTTCTCAAGCAGCAATGGTGTTCAGAGATGCGTAGTAAACAGTGAACAGACTCTATTTTCTTCTTGGGTCTTGAGAGACAGTTCAAGCTTGACCTATGAATATATCTGCTAAAATATGTGGGAGAAAGAATCCAGGAGATTCGCATTCAGTACACAAGGAAAATACTTCCAGATTCCAACAGGTAATCATCACAAAAAGAAATTTCAAGAAGCTCTACTTTGTCTCTGATTTCTAGTAAATGAAAGTCACAGGAACTCACAAAAGAGTCTACATCTGAACCATGGTAGAATTCAAGCTCAGGGGAAGCTTTGCCTTCCTATTGTCAGCTCACTGAAAACCCAGGCTCTAGGGTGTCAGGCTGGTCTTTATTGGACATGTGGAGGTGAGTGAGGGGCTTCTCTGACAAGGAGGGTGCTGCTTACATGTGTGATCTAAGTCCAGTCAGCTCACCAGGCCTACCAGGCATGGACATGAACAGGCCCAGGAGCATAGCTCCCACACATGTGCTTGAGGAGGGCCAAGAGGAGGAGAGGACCAGCCTCTGACTCTGCTGCCTGCCCCCATGCACCCAGCACATTCGCATTCATCTTGGGCTCCTGGATGAGGGACTATCTGGAAGATATCACAGAAGCACCAGACATGTGCTGCCTCTAATATCTTCTAGTATACTTACAGTGCAACATGCCTCAGTCCATACAGAAGCAGAGGCCCAACTTCTGCTCACTCATCTGAAACATGTGGGTCCCAGACAGCCAGAGCTTGAGAAGTAGCATGGGCTGATAAAGGAGAGAAAAGGACAGGGAAATGCTCCACTTCAGGCTCCAGTCCTGCCATGAAGTAACAAGTAAGAAGAGCCAGGAAGTCTAGAAGCCTTGAGCGGGGGTCTGTCAAAGCTTCCTGTGGTAGAGTTAGGGGCTAGGACTTCTTAGGCAGGCAGGCAGGGGTCTCTGGGACTTAAGAAAGAGTCAGTGGAAGGCAGTCTTGTAAGGGATCTTTTCTTCTCTTGCAATCCCACAGCTCCAGTACTTGGTGACAAACCAAGTGTAAAACCACAATCATCTCAAGTGGTGGATCCAATACCTGACCTAAAAGCAACACTACTGCAGTCAGAGCTGCAGCCAGCAGCACCACTGGAGCCACACTCAGCTCCAAGACCTACTGTGGAGCTCCAGCATGAGCTATGGAGAGATGGAGATTATGACTTAACCTCTACCATTTTTGACCAGAGATGAACCCAACTGAATATTAGCCAATGATACACAGCACTCTACCCTCTTCACAAGAGCTAAGTCCAGAGCTCCAACTGCAAGATCCAGTTCTCCTTTCTAATGTAGAAACAGTGGCAGCTCCATCTCTCCCTGAGGCACCTAGCCCAAAGGCACCAACAACTTCAGTCCCAGGAATAGATCCACCAGCACATTCAGGAGAAGAGGCCATGTCAGTACCTATTTCTAGTACAGCAGCTGCCTCAAAGCAAGGCATAATTCTACCATCTGCTCAAGAGGTAGAAGTATCTGCAGTTCAGTCAGTGACTCCCAGTCCCATTGCAGCAGACAGCTCAGGGACAGAACTAGAGACTTCAGGAGGTGGAAGATTTGAATCTGGTCCTGGTTCTGCTATGGAGCAAGTGAAGGATCACTTGCTAGCTAGAGAGGCTCAGTCCCTTCAACTACTTGATGGGAAGCCAGAGCCATCTGCACAGTAGCCTCTACCATCACGTCTGGATGTAGCAAGAAAGTCTTCTAACTCCATGTTCAATCCTGCCAAGGGCAATGATCAAACTGTATGACCTTCTGGGGAAAAAAACTCAAGAGAGGCCTCAGGAAGACTGAAGAACTGGTAGGTATGCCTGAGGCCACAGACATTCTAGGAATGGTGGAAGGGGCTCCCAGAGCCAAAACCACCTGTTGACCCACTCCCTGAATGCCCCATCACACCTGGACTTTGCACAGCTGGCATGTTGCAGGAATGAGATGCAGCCACCGCACAAGAGCCTGCAGGAGCACAGGAGTGTGTCATGGGCAGGACCATAGACCTTCTGCCCAGTGCCTGCCTAGGAAGGGACCAGACCCAGATCGATTTCTTTTTTTTTTAATTTAATTTTATTTTATTTGTGAACATACTGTACAGAGGGGTTACAATTACATGGGCAGGATAATGCGTACATTTCTTACCAAGCATTGCAGCCTCCTCCTTTGTTTACCCTTCACATCCCTTCCCATCCTCCCCCCTCCCCCCCATCCCAATCCTTCTCCTCCCCCCCCCCCCGCCCCCCGCAACGACATTGTAAAGCTCATTTTGGACATGACACCCAGATCGATTTCTGTGTGCAGGGTAGTGGCCTTTGCTAGGGGCTGGAGAGTGGGTCACTGGAGGAGTAGGCCTGTCATGCCAAAAGTTCTTCTAGGTGGCTGTCTCCATGAGGCTGAAAGTAAGTCTGGGTTGATTTGAGAGAGGTTAAGCTGATCCTTCTGATCATTCTCTACCCAATGGCACAGGGCACAGTTCTTTTCCTGGGCACCATCCTCACATACCTAGCCTCACTGCACAAAGCCCAGGACTCCAAGGATGTAAGTGAGCAGGGCCCAGGGCTGGGAAATCAATCTTGACCCCAGCAAGAGCCTGAGTCCTCTCCAGCCCCAGGGTGCCAAGCACCACAGCAATCCTACCTGCTGATGTCCCAAGCTACCAGACCTCAGTGCTGCTGGTGACTTGGGTCCATTTCTCAGCGGGTGGTGAGTGTGAGTGGGATCATGACATCAGGTCTTTCAAGATAACATTGCATGTGGGACCAGCATGGCCTTCTCACTACAAGCTTCAATCTCTCCAATGTCCAGAGAGAGAGACAGAGAGACAGAGACAGAGATAGAGAGACAGAGACAGAGCTGAGCAGTCAGATACCTGTCCTCAGGCCCCAGACTGCCCTAGACCGAGAACAACCCTAGTTCATGTATGGACACATTCTGCCCTCTGCTGGAATGCAAAGACAGCCTTTATTGTGGAAGCACCATTTTCTCAGCACATTGGCTCTTGGACTTGCAGAGTCGTTGGATTAACATGAAAAGATGACAGGTGAGAAGAAGCAGCCCTCCTCCACAGGATGGCAGCTGTGTAGGCGACTTAGGTCCATACTTGCCTCTGAAGATGGCAACATTTAGTACAGAGCACAGGAGGAGATTGGGGCCCTGAGGGGGGATCTAGTACAGCTTCCTGGGGGTGAGCACTGGATCCTAGCGGAGAAACAAGGAGGATGCTGAGTGTGAGAGAGAGAGGAGTGAGCCCAGGTAAAGACCCAGAGTATGTTGCCTGGCCTAGCCTGCACTTGTGCAGGCCCAACACCATCCTGTTGTCAGGAATTCTAGGTCCTATCCATCATCAAGGAATAAGTCCACATGACAGGAGCTCCACGTGCTACCAAAGGTAAATTTTGTATCCTGTTTCCAGAACATCAAGTGCCTCAGCAAGTCTGAAAGGTAAGCTGGGGAAGGCAGTAGGGGCAGCAAATAGGGGGATCCCCAGAACCATCTCCTGAGAGCTGGTTCTGAGAGCGTGAGTCAGCATCCCACTGTTACCTGTTGAAGGCGGAGCACATGGCCTCCTGGGTCCCTAAGAGTCCTGGGAGGAAGCCCCAGTGTGGAGCCTGCTGTCCTCACAGCCACTTCCTGTCTTCGCTCCAAGCTGTCCAGGGAGCTGGAGCCTCCCCACAGGGCAGGCTTCCTGACCAGTAACACCAGGAGAAGCCCCCTCCCAAAGAAGCCCTCAAGGAAGTAAGTGCTTGGACCCACAGGACAAGGGACTCACAAAGGTCTGAGTGGCAGGAGAGGGAGTCAGAGACGCTGGGGCTGGCATCCTACTCACTCCCATACAGCCACTCTGTGACTGGGCTATGTGGCCTGAGCTCTGCCCATCGTACTTTCTTCATTGGGGTCACACAGGGGACCTCAGAAGTTTTGGCCAATGGGCTAGTTGGGAGTGAGCAGAATAATGAAGGCTGCCTCAGGCACAGAGGGCTATGGGGTATGGGGCTGCCATCTGATCTCAGGGAGGCCCTGGAATTAATTCAGCCCTTCTATTCCTTTTACCAGGCTTCTACCAGAGACCTCAGCAGCAATGGCAGCTCCCAGTTGAAGACAGGTACCCAGATGAGCAGTGGGAATATCAGCCACACACCCACCATGCAGTCAGGCTGCTCAGCCAGGCTCCCATTTGTTTCACTCTGATGGAGTCTTGCCTTTCCTGAGCCCCTAGTCCTCCAAGAGAGCTGGACATGCAGCTATTACTTAAGCTGAAGTATCTTCAACCCAGATGCCTGGATCTACCCACTGGTATGGACTCCAATGAAAGAAAATACCACTCGCTGATGCATTCTGAGAAGTTCAAGACTTTATACTACACAGAGAAGGGAAGAAAGAGCATGAAATGAAGTGCTTATCCATTGGGGTGAGTGGATTAGGTTAAAATGCTGAATTTATATATTAATAGTCCCTTAAAATGATTTCCCTAGGAGAGCAAGGTTGTTGTGTTTTTCTTTTCCTGGAATAATGAGAGAGACTTTCACATATCCTCTTCTAAGATGAAATCTTTCCAGGCTTCAAAGTCATTTATTTCAGGATGAGGAAGAGCAGTTCCCCCACCCATTTGTCAGGCCTGCTGAAGGAAACACACCTTCACCTCACACAGAGCCCTGAGTTCAAGGTGATGCCTTAAATCGGTGCCTCACAACTTCTAGGGCAAGGCTTTCAGGTGTTATCATGGGCCATTCCACAAACCCTGAAAGGGAGTATTGAAAAAACCACCTCTGCACCAGCAATTGGCAATGTGGGAAGCTCTGGGAAAATCATCCTCAAGCTACTGGAGAGGGGCTGGAGATAACCATGAACAACCGTAGGTCCCTGAGAAAGTGAAGCCACACCATGACAAGAGCAGTACTCCAGGGAGGGAAACACTACTGAACTGCAAGAAGAGGTAAACTCTGGCAAACCAAAATCACAGTTCTTCAAAACCAGGTACATTCCTAAAGTCTAAGCACCCTGATGAAGGAAAACGTAAGGAAACATGCCAATGAGCAAACACAGATCACAAACAGAGCATCAGTGCAGATGCCAGGGCCACTCACAGATTCCTCAGCTAATATTAATCCTCTCCACCCATAACTTCACCAAGAGATAAACTAATTCTTCCAAGATATAACCTATCACAGCTCACAAAACAATAATTGGAATTGTCCTATTAGGAGATATCTCATATTATCTCAATGAAATAAATAGCATAGGGATTTCTGACCTGAAGAGTGATTCACAACAGCAGAATACCTTTGGACAAAATCTCCAGTATGCCAAACCTACAACCATGATGCGGAAGGAAAGTAGAGACTATGTTCCTCCTACAATTCTCATAGAGCAGTGGCAAAGAAACCCCAGCAGGAGATCAACAGCAGATAATAACATCTAGCAAGCCATCTTTTAACCTGAGGAGGCAGTACTACTTCAACATTGAGCAGGACTTCACTGAGTATATATTTGCATAGATAGATAGATAGATAGATAGATAGATAGATAGATAGATAGATAGATAGATGGATAGATAGATAAAAGAAGAACCCCACAGGGTCATCTCCATGAGAAGGAAGGAAGTTTGGCCCAGTGCAACTTCCAAGCAGGATGAAGCAGGAGAGGAAAGAATGTCTTTAACCTGATGCCATTTGTATTTAGGATTGTGTGGGACTCAAAGCTCCAGAACTGTTTACCGAGGCTGGCATCAAACTGCAATTCTCTCAATATCCTATTACCCAGTCATATAACTCATCTTGCCTCTGTCATTTCTTTCCAAGAAGATATGGTAGGTAAATAAGTCATCCAATTAAATCCTGCCTGGATCCTCACTGAAGACTGTGTTTTGTTATGAGTGTCAATGAATGCAAATTGTCCACGAGTCAAAATGACTTCATAGTATTTAAAGGGAAACATATTAAAAGGGAAATAAAATCACAAGGAAGACGTCCGACCAATCTTTCATTCTGGAAATGACTTTTTCCTAACAGGATTACACTCACCAAGGCAATTTTAGGCTTATGAAGACAGTGCCATCTAGACTGTTAGCCACCAATGACCATCCCCTAGTTATAGATATTTAGGCCAAATTTTGTTTTAGACTCAGAGCCCAGGTGTAGGAGAAAAGAGTTCCTCATCTCCACATATTAGTTTACTCATACCTTTGTGACCAAGAGAGGAATTGATTTGGCTTAAGATGCTTTCCCCCTAGCAAAATTGTGTGTTTGTGCGTGTGTGTGTGTGTGTGTGTGCGTGTGTGTGTGTGTGTGTGTGTTTGATAGTTTACTGGAGATAAGAGTTTTATGGGGACTTTTCTATCTGGGCTGGCTTCAAACCGTATCCTCAGATCTCAGCCTCCTAAGTAGCTAGGATTACAGGTGTGAGCCATCAGCACCCTTCTCCCCTTATAAAATATTCTTTGTGAAAATATTCATATAACATACAAAGCCACTTAGTTCATTTTAAAGTGTCTGCCATAGGAGATAAGAAATGACACACCATGAACAGTTTTATCCGGAGAAATCCTGCGTTTCAAAGATCCTGGAGATGTTTACAAATAAAGAAAAAGAGGAAAACATGCAGCAAAGCCTTCTGAATGAAGAGACCACAACCCGGCCAGGATGCCAACATTGCTGGGTCTTCATCTAGGTATCTGTTGAGGAGCTACTATAGGCCACCATCTCTACCCAGTCCTTCACACCTTCCCTGAGATCGTCCCTACACTTTGGTGAGAGGGACATTGGTCCCCTCATCTTGATGTGCCCCTGCCAGCTTCCCGACCTTCCCAAGAGCTGAAGTGTTTTGGCAGGAGATAACAGTGGTCAGGCCCAGAAGGCAAGCATTCCCAAGGCTGACAGGGTATTTACTGCACAACTCCTCTTTATCATTCACACCTGTAACATCCTGAAGCCCTGAGAAGCTCACCTCCACATAATATCCAAACACTACATAAAACATTAAAAACTTAGCTAAGTGCTAAGATCTTCTGTTTCCATCAAGTTTTTACTTCCCTTTGCCCTCATGTTTCTGGTTCATAGTGGCCAACTTGAGCCTCCACTCAGCCATTCTTCCAAGCTCTGAGGATGGAGCTATGGGAGAGTATGGTACTGCAGAAGGCCTGGGATTTGGGCTGAAAGGGTGGGAACTCTTCACAGTCTTCCAACTCTTCATGTGACCATGGCAACCAGTCATCTGAGTGCCAAAAAGCAAATGCATAAAAAGAGCTTGGAGAGGTATACCATATTGTGGATGTCTCTATCAGAGAAGTAAAATCCTGAAATTGCAAGTTATCATGCAAAGAAAATGGTTAATTCACTACACACACACACACACACACACACACACACACACACACACACACACACACAGAATGCAAGTTTTAGGAAATATGAAGGTAAAAGAAATAGATTACTCCTAAAACATGAAATCTCCATAGATTGGAATAAAAAAGTCATTACAGATTAATGTCAAATTGACATGGAAGCCAGGTACTGGTGGCTCATGCCTATAATCCTAGTGACTCAAGGAGGCTGAGATCTGGAGATCAAGGTTTTTTTGGGGGGAGGGTGAGGGGGGTCCGGTCATGGGCCTGAACTCTGAGCCTAGGTGCTGTCCCTCAGCTCTTCAGCTCAAGGCTAGCACTCTACAACTTGAGCCACAGCGCCACTTTCAGCTTTTTTTTTCTTTTTGCTTATGTGGTGCTAAGGAATCGAACCCAGGGCCTCAGGCATGCAAGGCAAGTGCTCTACCACTGAGCCACCTTCCCAGTCCATGGAGATCAAGGTTTGAAGCCACCCTAGGGAGATAAATCCAAGAGAATCTTTAAGCAGCAAAAAGCCAGTAGGGGAGCTGTAACTCAAGTGATACAGTGTCACCAAGGACCAAAGTAGTACAAAGCTGTGAGTTCAAGCCTCACTATTGAAATAAGCAAAAACTAGAAAGAGTACCTGGAACACTTTCCCTCAGTTGAGCATCAACACTGTATCAAGGACAGTACTGTCATGTGGTCAGCATCTCAGAGATGCAGCTTTGTGGTTGGTTTTTAGAGTGTGGTTTTCTTCTAATTTCTACTTCCATTTGTTAATTCATCTTTACCCAGGGGGACTACAGATTTGAAAACTCCTGTATTCACAGGAAAGTAACCATGATTAAATGTGTGTTTATTTCCCTGTAGCTAGAAGAAAGGATTGCAAACATTCCCAAACCAACGAAATGATAAAAAGTGAGTTATAGATATGCTAAATACCTTGATCTGACCATTATATATTGTAGAATTATATTGCAACACCACAAGGTATCCTGTAAGTATGTACAGTCTTCATGTGTCTAGTAAAAATATATTTAACCAGGTGCTAGTGGCTCACACTTGTACTCCTAACCACTCAGAAGGCTGAGATCGGAGGACTGAGGTTTGAAGCCAACCCAGGCAGAAAAGTCTGAGACTCATCTCCAATTATCCAGCAAATACAGTGGCTAAAACTGTAGAGTATCAGCCTTGAGTGAAAAGAGCAACAGGCCCTGAGTTCAAGCCACTTTACTGACCTACCAAAGTAAATACATTTAAAAAGATATTTTAAAGCCTATGAGGATACATCAACACTGAGAAATTTATCTTTGTAGAGAAAATAGAATCAATGATGTATTCAGCAAAATAGGACCTGAAATACATTTAACAAAATGGTAATATGCATCTTAAAGGGTAAACCACTCTAATATAAACTATCATTATTCTCAAAGCTTCTCTTGGGAATGCTTTGCATCTCCCCTTTCCCTTAATGAAACATTACATAAATTATTTTATTTGTATTTATTCTTTTTTTTTTTTCATTTATTTATGACATGGTAGTATCACTATGGTGTCCTGGCTGGCTCCAAACTCAAGCAATCCTCCTGAAAGCCCCAAAGAAACTAGACCTGCAGAGTAAGTCTCTTGGCCTGGCTTAGGAAGTTTTCATTATATACAAAGTTGTAGAGGAATCAGGGGCCAATGAACCAACAGTTAGGGTAGTTTGCTTGACCTACTAGTTCACATACTTGGATATTTGTAAAAGTTTGATAAACATATAATGGCACACGCCTGTCACCTCTCTGCTATCTGTGAGCAGGCCTGGCTAAATCACATAGAAGAGGCATTAAAACCTGGGCGTTTAACTTCGTATCTCCAAACAGAGCTGGGAAGTCTTGCATGCTGGTACTGAGATTGAAATGGTGGAGAACGTTTTTGTTCACTGTCGCTAGGTTTCAATTCGAAAGCTCAATGAGGCAGTCGCAGTTAGAAAGTTTGAAGTGAGTTTCACAATCTCTCAGAGGAAAACCAAGATTTTCAGGAAGCACTTCCTCACCTGTCTCAGGCTGAAGAGGTAAATCTGCACCCAGGCCCAGGAGGGCAAGCACCTGGGTTCTGACTCTGGGTAACAACCCTACACACCCACTTCCTCCTGTGTGGCGCAATGCATAATGGGAAATGTAGTCTTCCTCGGACACAGAACCATTGGGCGGGGCTCTTTCAGGCTCCTCCCGTGCATGCGCTTCCGCGCCCATTTAGGGCATTTTCCGCTCAGAAATTCCGGTTCCTGGCGCTGTGCCGCGCTCCTGGGAAGTTTCCGAGGTTAAGTTCAGTGTTGTGAGTGCCGGAGCCCGGGTGGCAAGAGGCCCCGCCGTGCCTGGCGAACCTGGGGACCTGAAATGTGAGTGGATGGCAGGCAGGCAGGAAAACGGGCTGCAGGCGGCAGCTGGAGCCGGGCGGGTAGCCTGGAGGCTCCACGCACTGCCGGTCCCTCCGGTCTGGGTGACTGTGCCTGGGGTCGTGATTGCTTTGTCAGAGTCGGTTCTGCCAGAATCAGTGTCCTTCCAGGTGCCGGAACCTAGCTGGCTCGGGAAGGCTCGCGGGCAGGCTAGAAGGTTGTCCAGACTAGGAGAGCTGGGGAGGCCTGCGCTTCTGTTCCACGCCTGATTCTGCTGTGAGCCAGTGTGATGACATCATTTGTCCAGCTGAACGATGGACGAGTCACAATTCTAGTGAGGTTGTGAAGGGTGTGCTGGCCGAGTCATGTGCTATGGCAGTTGTGTTGGTGGGGTTCTGTGTTGTTTCTTGTGGGGACATTTCTAGTCCCCTTCTGGGCGCTGTAGCCTCTTAGCACTCCTGGCTCCAGTTCACATATGTTTGTACACGACTGGCTGATGGACCTGTATTCCTTGGAATTAAGTAAGCGTGGCAGATTCGAAGGAGAGCAAATTCTGAACAGGAGTGTGCATCCTGAAAGAACACTGTCCTTGTGAACTGTCACTAGCCCTAAAGAGCAGAGGCAGAGAAGCACTAGAACGGGAAGATCTGGTTAGCCTCCCTTGCCCTAGAAATGATTGATTCTGCTTTCAAGAGCACAAGATTCAGGTGGTGCTGTTTTCTCCAAACTCCTAGCCACTGTCCAGCTTTGAGAGGGAAGAGTTGAGCTGGAGTGAGCAATGAGCCAGAGCTGAATTATCATAGGGGATAGGAGGCTGTGGTTTGTAGTGGAGAGACACCTTGTCACTCCTGGAAGGATCTGCCTCTGCAAGAACCCAAATCCCAGTCTCATTGATTCAATCTAACCCCACTATCATTTCTACAATGCAAGCTCTCTCAAAAGTATCCTGTTATTAAATGTGGTATCTAGAGATGTGCTTCTACTTGCTTTCCCCTGGTGATATTTCTGTGCTTTAAAAAAAAATGACAAAACAAAATTTAGGGTGATATATCTTGTTCAATGTTGTTTGGTTTGTAGATGTTAATACTGAAGTTTTAGCTAGGGTTACCCATTTTGTGACAATTTGCCAAAAGCATTATGTTTTCAATTGGGAATTTTTTTTTTTTTTTGGTGGTGGGTTGGGGGAGGGTGTGGTTAAAGTCAATGTGGATAAACATTGCTTCAAAATACTTAACGTGAAATATGCTGATCTTGTTCTTTATCCTCAGCACTTCCAATGGCTTTTGTGACTTAAAAATACTACTAACATGGATATTTTCCCACATTTATTTATTTATTTATTTATTTTGGTCAGTTATGGGGCTTGAACTCTGAGCCTGAGTGCTGTCCCTCAGCTCTTCACTTGAGCCACAACGCCACTTCTGGTTTTCTGGTGGTTTATTGGAGATAAGAGTTTCAAGGGCTTTCCTGCCCGGGCTGGCTTTGAACCGTGATCCTTGGATCTCAGCCTCCTGAGTAGCTAGGATTACAGGCATGAGCCACGGGCACCTGGCTTATTTTTCCACTTTTAATATGTCAAATTCTACAGTACAATAATGAAATTATTTTACATTAGTTAAAATAAGAAGGACTGAATATACTTCTATTCCAAACTAGTATTACTCCCTCTTTTAAGTGGGGATTGCTTTATTATTATTATTATTAGTCACAGGACTTGTACTCTGGGCCTGGGTGCTATTCCTCAGCTCTTCGTCTCAAGCAGTGCTCTACCACTTGAGCCACAGTGCTACTTCTGGTGTTCTCGTGGTTAATTGGAGTTTCACAGACTTTCCTGCCTGAGCTGGCTTTGAACGGGGATCCTCAGCTCTCAGCCTCAGGAGTAGCTAGGATTAGTCGTGAGCCACTGGCGTCCAGCAGAAATTATATTGTTAAACAGAAATTTTGTAATATGAAACTTGCAAATTTTTGCTGTAGGAATGTCTAGAATTCAACACAGAGAGAAAAAACTCCTCACAATGGAATCTATGAAAATTTGAGTCTCATAAGTTGAGATATTCAGCCTACAACAAACATGTTTTTCACCATATAAAAACATTATTGTGGGCTGGGAAGGTGGCTCAGTAGTAGAGCGCTTACCTTGCATGCCTGAAGCCCTGGGTTCGATTCCTCAGCATCACATAAGCAAAAAGAAAAAAAGCCGGAAGTGGCGCTGTGGCTCAAGTGGTAGAGTGCTAGCCTTGAGCTGAAGAGCTGAGGGACAGCGCCCAGGCCCAGAGTTCAGGCCTCACGACTGGACCCAAAAAATAAAAGAATAAAAAAAAAATTATTGTGATGCAGAAAAAGTTAAAACTCAAATGTATACATTATTTTTTAATGATTCAGTTGTTTATTGTTTATTTGTTTTTTGCCAGTCATGGGGCGTGAACTCAGAACTTCAGTACTGTCCCTGAGCTTTTGTTCAACTTGAGCCACAGCACCACTTCAGGCTTTTTCTGTTTATGTGGTACTGAGGAATTAAACCTGGGGCTTCATGCATACTAGGCAAGCACTCTACCCCTGAGCCACATTCCCACCCCGATTCACTTGGTCTTTCCTAGCAACAGCAACCTTACTTGACTTTCATGATGATTTACATTATTTGTCCACATGGCTTCCAATTCACTTCATTTTATTCCCAGAGTTTGTCTCCTACATAATTTTGTTCCAAAACCCAGACCTATGAAGCTACTAGTATTTCCTATGTAGTAAATCAATCATCATGCCCTATATATCCAGCAAAATAGCCAAGGTTTTTCACAGTATACTTGCACTGAGGAAGGCTAGCATTAAGGAATTTTCAAACCTTTGTTCACATCATATTCACTGATGTCCCTTGGCCAAAGCATGTTAAATGGCAAGATGCAGATCAGTGCTTCAGGCTACTCTGGGTAGAGGAAGATGTGCTCTCTGGGAGCCAGTATTGGAACAGGAAACCACCAGAAATATATATTCTATACATTTTTCCTCTAGACTTCTGAGAGAAAAATACTGTATTGTAACAAACATTCCTTCCATGATGCATCAATATTGCAAAACAGAAGGTATAGTGAAATGCTTAACGGAGTCCTATATGGTATCTTTTCATTAAAAGGAAAATAATCCATATATTCCTAAATGCATTTCTGTAATTCATAATCTTAGTAAAGACATCATATGTCTTTCTTTGGTTTATATTATTCAGTCATTTTTTGAGGGAATATTAGTTGTTCCCTCACCTAGAAATGAATTATACCTATACTATCTACCAATTAATGGATTGTGGATACATCTTTACTGACAAATATAATGTATCATCTACTTGAGGCATGAGTCTTCTCCCACAGGAAGGTTTATTATTATTATTATCATCATTATCATCATCGTCATCATCATTATTCTCTTCCAATCCATGTGTAGTGTCTTGGTTCTTTCCTGACTCCATTTCATTTACCTTCTTTCCCAGCTGTGCTGTCAGAATTGTCTCTGCATTGCCAACAACAGAAGAAAATGAATGGATCTCTGGTGAGACTGTTTTATTTCTTTCTGTGTTTTTCATGAATTTTTTCACGAACTTATTGGGGTCCAAGAATTAAAATGGAAAAGTAGAAAAGATTTATCCTCCAGAAAATGTTTATAAATAAGATAAAAATGGCTTGTAGATTTAGCAGACTATGAAATATTAAAAGTCAATCTAATTTGAGTGCAAATTTACTTTGAATTTGTCTCTGCTGTTTCTGATGTGAGAAAAAGTAGTCAGACTTGTTCCATGATCCAATGACACATAGAGGTAAGTAAGCAAGCAAACTTCTTATGGGATGCAAAGATTTGCTGGTCATTGGTCTGAAATCTCATTCTCATTAGTCATATATTAGCTTATCTTAATGATGTTAAATTATGTTATAAACATTTTTCTGGAGTTACTTTCGTCCCAAACATCTTTGCGCGTTAGAGAGACCTGAGTAAGCCATATACTTAAATGACTGTCTGCACATAACCCTTTTCGGTTGGGAGAACAATATAAGGCATAGAGTTGCATTTTTCCCCCAAAAGCTCACTAGTCACTTAAATTTTAGTCAACTCCATGATAGTTTTTCAGTGTTTTTTCTTACGTAAAATTGATGCTATATTTGAAGAAGTTGTCTATGGCCTTTCTAGAAATCTTTATTCCTATCTAAAGTGGCCTGCCATGCTATTTTTTTTCTACTTCTCTCCTCTCCTCTCCTCTCCTTTCCTTTTTATTATTATTTAAAACGTTTATTAAACACAGGGTTTCACTTAAGTAAATCAACCAAAGAGTTGACATTCTTTGGACAGTGTCACCCCTGCTCTCGCTCTCTCTAGGTTTTTCCCTTCCTTCTTACCTTCAGGTTGTGTAGTTCATTTTCAGCATGGTATCCTGTGATACCATAGCTGTCTTTTTCTGTTGGAAATCAGGGATATTGGGATGCTGTGAAGGAATAATGACACCAATTCACAAAGCTCAGCAAGGTAAAATATACTTCTGCATAAGGGTGTGTCATCAACCAAAAATCTGGCAAGCAAGCACATGGACCAGGTAGCTGTTCCAATTTTATCTCTTATGCAGCATTCCCTGCCCCTCTGTGAAAACTGGGACAAGCTCAGGTTCATAATCACCTCATACTTGGAAGAGGATGGGATATCTCAATTATTCACACTCTCTTCTACTTTCTTTACTTGCTGATGTTGTCTTAAAATAAGCAGCAAGGGCCAAGCCACAAGTCCAAGTCAAGAACTTTTAAACAACCCATCTTGATAGAAAAGATCACTTTTCCTTTTATACAATCTCTGGTTGAGCTTTTCAGTACTGGTATTTGCTTATGGAAGCCTTATGTTCATTTATTTTATTATCCTTTAGGGCATTCCTTTATGAGTACTGTTACTGAGTTCTTATTTTGGGTGGGGGGGGTCAGATCAGACAATGCCTTATGTCTTTATTCCATTTACATAAAAATACTACTGTGATTTCATTTATGTCTAACATTTTGCTACTTCTTTTCTCCTTGTCTCATCTGATATTTGTGTCTTCCTATCTTCTTAGGTAGTATTAATCAAATCTTTCTAGCATAATCATCTCTGAATATCCACAGGAATGTTTCCAGAAACCATTACAGATACCAAACTAGATGTTCAGGTTCCTTACATAAAACTGTACTGTGATTTCATATAACCAGCACATATCCATCTATATACTTTAAATCACCTCTGAATTACCTCTGACACCTAGTACAAATTAAATGCAATGTGAACAGTTGTTATTCAGCATTTTTCAGGACATTATCACAATTTTTATGTCTTTACCATATTCATAACAGGAGACATGTTTCCAAAATTTAAGATCAATAGTTGCTTGAATTTGTGAGACTCACAAATATGCAAGGCCGGGCTGGCAAGGTGGCTCAGCAGTAGAGTGCTTGCCTCGCATGCATGAGACCCTGGGTTCAATTCCTCTGCACCACATAAACACAAAAGGCCAAAAGTGGCACTGTGGCTCAAGTGGTAGAGCGCTAGCCTTGAGCTGAAGAGCCCAGAGATAGCGTTCAAGCCCCATGACTGATAAAAAAAATAATAATAATATGCAAGGCATACTGTATTTATTTTTTGCCAGTGTTATCATATATGAGCACTAAGTGTGGTACTGTATTTTCCTCATGAATGAAAAACCAAGGATTTTACATTGATTGGAAGTTCATACTCAGGCTGAAGCATGGAGAAGAAGCCAAAGCTGTAAGCAACATGTACTTGAAGTTTTATTTCTAGAACTCTGTTTTGGTATGGCAGCCATGGGAAATTTAATATACCTAGAGGACTATCATACTGCATCCTAACATATAGGTTTTTTTCAAGGGAATAGTTCCATATATAAGCTTGATCCTTTTAAAATTAAAACAAATGAGTGATATTGTGCATTTGAATTTAGAGCAAATGCTGTAGCAATTGAATGTTTGATCTGTATTCCTAGTTTATATACTTTTGTTTTCAATATGTATTGAAAGATAGGTGAGTACTGAATCTTCATTCATATGTTACTTATATGCTATTGTAATTTTTGTTTTAAGCCATCATTTAAAAAATTACATGAAACATATGGATATGTATCGATTGTGTGTGTGTGCGCGCGCACGCATTTTGTGTGTGTGTGTGTGTGTGTGTGTGTGTGTGTGTGCGCCGGTGCAGGGGTATTCCTTTACACCTATCTACAAATTTACTATTGCTCTGGTCCCATCAGTACATCTAAGTTAGCACCTTTTGTCTTTCTCTAAGTTGGACAATTTCATGTAGCACTCTGGTTATGCTGCTAATGAATTATCTTAATCTGAAAATATGTTCAATCCACATTGTTAGAATAGTTTTTCTGGACAGAAGATTGTACAATGAAGGTTATTTTCTTTGCAGCCTTTACGTACATATTTCCTTTTGATGGGTTGGGGTCAGCATTCATTTCTGGTATTGCTAAGCATAGTGAAAGTAGTAAGATGGTTGGAAATTCTTTGTAGTAGGACTCAGCATGAGAATAAAACTCTCTTTGTGCCCTCTGCACAACACCTTAATACAAAATACTGTTCTATCCACTTACATTTAGTCCCACATTTTTCGGATCAATTCTCTTATCTTTATTCTTATTTTAATTTGTTCTCAGGTTAGTCACATCGCACACTGCTTTCTTAGATTCTCTCTCCCACATGCCTTCCATCCTTCCATGAAGAACTAGTAAAATGCAAATCTGGTCAAAACACAATTTATTCCCCTCTCATTTATGTTCTCTATTGTAGAAGGTGGGTGATGTCATAATAAACAATGCTACCAGTTCTTTAGTATTTAGCAATGAAATATAACAGGGCCTCAAAACATCTTTAGGTATATACTAACAACAATGAGTACATGAAACTTATATTATGAGAACTAAGTAAACTCTTATATGTCCCAAATAATTACAATCAGTTTTCTTGAGTACTGTATCTACCTTTAACACTTATCACCTAAACACTACTGTGTTTTTGTAGATCTGCTAGTGTGGTATGTACCCCTTGTAATTTCCTGATTGAGCTCTGATATCCTAGATCCTAGACCTCTAGTTCCAGTTGATGCTGTTAGTGCAGATCATTAGCTCCTTAGGAGAGAATTATTATCTTGTTGTCCTTGCTTGCAACAGAAGGATTTCCTAATTGATAAGAGAAACTTTGATTTAGTAACTAATAAGTTAGTATAGAAACAGGTATTTCTATTTTGTCTTTCTTTCCCATACTGCATACATAACAGAGCAAGCACCAGTTATTTTATGTAACATAGAAACATATGTGAGAGGAATGGAATCCTCAGACTTAGTTTTCTCATGACTCAGGGCTAATGACTTTTTGAAATGTGCCATTACAGGGGTCGGTATCATTTGAGGATGTGTCTGTAGACTTCAGCTGGGAGGAGTGGAATGAACTGGATAATGCCCAGAGGATTCTATACAGGGATGTGATGCTGGAGACATATAGCAACGTGGTATCCTTGGGTGAGCAAAGGTCACATTAATTCCCAGGAGCAAGTGCTTTGTTCTTAATAAATATGTGAATATTTATCAGATTTAATGCTATTTAGATGTAATATTCTAGTTACCTCCCTATAACAAAAAGTTTAATTTGGTTGCACAACTCCTGAGGTCATCTCATCATTCTTCAAGATGTTGAGTGAATAGTTTGGTGAAAGTTCTATACTGTTACCCAGTAACAGCCCACTCTGTTCCTAAATGTGAGTTGATTATGAAGCTGAAGCAAAACAGCAGAGCCATGAATGAGAGAAGAGCCCTTAGAACAGGGCTTCGCAGGTGATTCAGTGCATTATGGATAGGGAGGTTGTAAAGATCAGAGCCAGTGTTGCTGTTTCAAGCTGATCTCAACAGTTTTCTCAGCTTTTACACCTGAGGACAGCTTCTGTCATTCATTGTCCATCTGCCTTCTGCAGTCTTCATTGGTGCCTCTAGTATAAATGTATCTCCCTATTTTTGTTTGTTTAACTCTCACTAAGAGTCCAGTCACTTTCTGGCTCTTAAATTTTCTTCTTGGTTAATTTTACTATATTTTCAGTTGCTTTTTTACCATTCATTTCTAAAATCTTTTCCCCTAAGCATTTATTAATAATTCATGAATTCCTCCAGTTATTTTAAATAATTCACATGACCTGGTATTTTTGTTACTGTGTAGATAACAATATAGATCAAACTTACTTCCTTCGAAGAACTTATACTATTCATAGAACATTAAACAAAGATGTTTAGTTGTAAGATAAGAACCACAAAGAAAGTTTTACCTGGATGAGACAGAAAAAAGAATAGGATAAGAGACAATATTTACATAGGGACATAATTTACTTTTAATGTAATGCTTTTCCAAATTTGACATATAAAATATAGGTTGATATACAATGTCTATAAAGTATACATCACTATTGGAAATGTGAATTTACCAATCAGTAATTTAAAGCTATTTAAAAACAAAGGCACATATTTGTGGAGAAGGTCATCTATAAGTTGAGAGAAATGAGAAAATAGGTTTAGGAGAAGCTTTCTCTACCAGGTTGTCTAAGATCATTACACCAGGACATAGTTCTCTAATATTTCCCTTTAACAGGGTACTGCATTCCTAAACCTGAAGTGATTGTTAATCTGGAGCAAGGGGCAGAGCCATGGCCCAGAGAAGCCCTAGACAAGAATATCACAGGTGAGTCAGCATTTACTGGACATGGATGTTAAAAAGACCAGAGCTCATTGAGACGTTCTCATTCATCTCCCAGCTCCTGGATTCCTGTGTTACTGGTTCTTTCCAACAGGTACTGGAGCAATGGATGCAGACATGCCATAATCTCTTAAAAACTCCATGAGAGGAGGAATGAATTTCACTGACTGACATGACATAACAGAAAATGTCTCCCCTTTTTCTGCTTCTGTATGGTCAGTTTTGTCAGCACTAGCTTAAGGGAATTACAAGAACAGATCAACAGGGCAGATGCTTAGCATTGGAAAACAAGATGTGAGAAGGTAGTAAGATAAATGCACACAGGCACTTTTCCTGATTTCCACAAGATTATTATGGAAGATTAGACACCCATAATCTTGTCTTTACTTAAACAGAGGATAAGGACTTATAAAACCATCAGTTTTCTGCTAGCATCAGTCACTCCCCAAGTGTTCACAGTTCTCACAGGGCCACACTGGGTATGGCAGGGAAGCAGTTCAAGGCCAAGTGAATCAACAGTTAAAGGAGAGCATCCTGAATTCTCTGTGGGAGTATTTAAGATTAGTATTTCTCCTATGTCTTTGTGTAAAACTTTCTAGAACAAAACAGAAAATAGAAAACTTACAGGAGACCCATTGTGTTGGGAGCTAAGTAGGACAGCAGATTTGCAGGCCTCAGGTAAGTGAGAACAAAGCTTCTCAAAGGAACACAAACCTGGGATTCAGAACCAAGGCTTTCAGCAGAATTAATATGACTGAGTTGGAGGCCTGGTATCTCCCAAGTGGGTGCGGTTCTGGTAGGTGCAACTGTATCAAAATAAGGAATTTAAAAGACATTTTGCAGAACATAGAGAAGAAACAACTTGAAAATTCCCCATAGACGCCAAGTGGAATTTTCAGGGAGAAGTGAGAATTTGTCAAACATAGGCATAAATCCTCACTCTTACGAACCACTCCTGCTTAGGTGACAGCTAACTTACCCTTTCATACATCCTTAGGTTCCCTGATCCTGGAATGTATTTCTATTTTCAATTCTAAAGTTTCAGAAGGAAAGTAGCACAGAATATCCATAATTGTTGCATAACCAAATGAAGCAAAAGTCTTCCCTAAAACTAACCCAAAAAATGAAAGGAAATAAGTGTCAGATTATATGTTTTTAGCTTAAAAGTATTAGCAGTCAGTTATTGAGTATTTTGACTAAATATTTCCTCTGGTATTAAAACAGAATGAAATGTAAAGAACCATAGAAGAACATGACTATATCAATATTTGTTAAGTAACTAATTAGAGAATAATTAATACTGTTCTCCTAAACCCATTCCTAGTACTGTTATTTTTGAATCTTTAGAGAGGTAATGTCTTTATTTGAGCATTTTTTAAGATGCCATTTTTTAAGATGCTTGGATGCCATCATGATTTTATCCTGCCTTTCTGTTAAACATTTTAGATGTCCAGCAAGTAGATAGCTTGATGGAAATACGCCAGGAAAGTCGAGACACACATCTGTTGCCAGTTGTAATCACCAGAAGCAACACAGTAGAGGAAAGTGTCATTTTTTAGGTGTAAAACATGGAGCAAATCTTTTTACACAAACCAGACCTCACTGTTCAGCAAGAAACTCACACAGGAGAGCTACTCTACTAATGTAATGAATGTAATTACTGGAAGTCAGACCTCAGCAGGCTTCAGAGAAATCACACAGGAGACAAATCACATGGATGTAACACATGTGGAAAGTCTTTCAAGTAGAACCCATGGTTCAGTATGTATCCAAGAAGACACACAGGAGAGAATTCTTAGGAATGTAAACCAAGTGGAAAGTCTTTCAAATGGAAATCAAAGGTCAGTGTGTATCAAAGAACATATAGGGGAGAAGCCATATGTGTAATAAATGTGGAAAGTCTTTAAGCCGGCTGTCAAATCTCCGCAAACATCAGAAAATACACACAGGAGAGAAATCTTATCAATGTAACAAATGTGGAAAGTCTTTCTACTACAAGTCCCAACTGAGTTTGCATCAGAGAACACACACAGGGGAGAAGCCTTATGAATGTAACACATGTGGAAAGTCAGACAGATGTCAACTCTCCACATCCACGCAGAAGAGAAACCATATGAATGTTACAAATGTGGAAAGTTTTTCAGACACAAGTCAAATCTCCGCCAACATCAAAAAATACACACAGGGGAGAAACCATATGAATGTAACACATGTGGGAAGTCTTTCAGACAAATGTCAGAACTCTGCAAACATAAGAAAATACATACAGGAGAAAAACCATATGAATGCAACATATGTGGAAAATCTTTTGTCACCAAATCAACACTCAGTCGGCATCAGACAGCACACACAGGGGAAAAACCTTATGGATGTAACACATGTGGAAAGTCCTTCAGATGGATGTAAAGTCTCTGCATCCATCAGAACACACACACAGGGGAGAAACCTTTTGAATGTGACACATGCGGAAAGTCTTTCAGAGAAATAGCAAATCTTCACAGGCATCAGAGCACACACACAGGAGGAAAATCTTATGAATGTAACACATGTGGGAAGTCTTTCGCCACCAAGTCAACACTCTGTCGGCATCAGACAACGCACACAGGTGAGAAACCTTATGTATGTAAGACGTGGAAAGTCTTTCTGTCACATGTCAACTCTCCGCATTCATCAGAGCACACACACAGGCGAGAAATCTTATGAATGTGACACATGTGGAAAGTCTTTCAGACGGATGTCACATCTCCACATCCATCAGAGGACACACACAGGAGAGAAATGTTATGAGTGTAACACATGTGGAAAGTCTTTCCTATACAAGTCAACCCTCAATATTCATCAGCGAACACACACAGGAGAGAAGCCTTATGAATGTGACAGATGTGGAAAGATTTTCAGCCATACCTCAAGTCTCTACAGGCATCAGAGAACTCACAGCTGAGAGAAACCTTATGAATGTAAACAATGTGGAAAGTCTCAAGCAGATTTCAGCCTTCAACAAGCATCAGACAGGCCATATGAATGTAAAACGTGGAAAGTATTTCAGATGGATATCAAATCTCTGCATCAGAGTGCGCACACACACAGGAGAAAAATGTTGGGAATGTAACAATTGTGGAAAGTCTTTCATCTACAAGTCAGATCTTAACAGACACACAGGAAAGAAATCAACACCATATAGGACAAATGGATATGAAGATTCTAAATACTTTGAATTTGGGTCTGGGCCACCCTGAACCCATGCACCTCCCTCAGAGCATTGAAGGCTGGTAAGGTTAATGTTGAGCAGCATAATTTGGCCAAATACCTGCTGCGACTTTGTTAGGCTATGAACTGGTATTCATTCCTCCTCAAACTGCAGCAGGAGCTTTTTGTTTTACACTGGAAATTGTCTTTCTTTCTCTCTTTTTAAAAAAAATATTAAGGAATTGTTTATTTTGCTAAGTGAAAGTGCTGGATTTTTTTTTTGCTTTTTATTGTTGGTTTTATTTTTTTAAATAAGTATTTTATTGTGAAAATACCATACAGAGGGGTTACAATTACATGAGCAAAGTAATAAGTACATTTCTTTTCAAGCATTGTTGCCTCCTCCTTTGTTTTCCCCCTACCATCCTTGCCCTCCCATCTCCACAACTATACTCCTCCCCCTCACCAAAGTTGTAAAGTTCGTTTTTTGACATAGCGTCTTGTACTTCTCATTGTAGCAATGGGTCCGTCCACGTATATCCCTATTTAAACAATTTGTTTTTTCCCTTCCCCTCCCCAAATTATACCAACATCAAATACAGTGAAAACAGGGGTTAAACCGTGGGGGAGGGACAGACAAAGCAACAACAACAAAAAAAAAAAAACCCACCTTATAAATACGTTAGAAACAATAGCTAAGCCCTGACTTCAATTCCAAAGACCAGCACAAAAAATGTAGTTTGACCATATTCACCAACAATCACCATCTCTATGGTCACTTCCTTTAACATCACAGCTGGGAGCATAAATTTATACAACAAATGAGATCAGAGTAGTTTTTGCTAGTGGAACTCACAAAGATTTAAGTCACTTCTGACAACACTGAAATTCATCTGCCTCTGCCTGAAAACATATACTTTGGGAAATCTATCACATCAAGGAAAAAGTGGTTTAAAATAATGTTTAAACAACATTGTATGGGCAATAAGCAAATTCAGTCCAAATGTCAAAAGGGTAACAGTGGTGTTTATTACATATAGTACATATAGAGTAGGTGAGCTATCAACACAGAAAGGACTACACATGGAAGAAGGAATGTTGCTGTATTTGGAATGGACCCATCAAAAATTCTTCACAAACTGGGCACCAGTGGCTCACACCTGTAATCCTAGCTACTGAGGAGGCTGAGATCTGAGGATTGCAGTTCAAAGCCAGCCCAGGCAGGAATGTCCATGAGACTCTTATCTCCAATTAACCACCAGAAAACTGGACGTGGTACTGCGGCTCAAGTGGTAGAGTGCTAGGGCCTTAAGCTGAAGAGCCATGAGTGGAAACTAGATGTATTTTAATCTGTCAGTCTCCCTCAGGAGGATGAGATTAAGAAAGGCAGGGAAAATTAACTTTTTGTTATGAATATTAACTGGATTTAGAATGCACAGTTTTTAAGTGAGGAAGTTAAAAAATGATAAGTTGATAGCTCAAGAAAATGATGAGAACAGCAAGCACCTAAAGAAACAGAAGACAAGTGAACTAGGAATGAGATGGTGGGCTTTGACTGAGAAACAGAACTAGGTAAGAAGCTCTCCAAAATGACTTAGCTCACATGCAGTTATGCCCTATGGAAGTAACAGTTTTACTTATCTTTAGCAAATTAGAAGGAAAATCCATGTACATAAAACAAGAGCCAAGTATATAAACATGTAAGTGACAATTACATACACTAGTTGAATTCCCCAATAACCTAAAAATAACTTAAAAGATCTTACAAAGACTTCCCACCCTTTTTATGACTTACAGGTTACCCTAGAGTAGGAAGTACCCACATTCAGATGAGTTAAGCTATTAAAAGTAAAAATGGCCACAACCTTCATTGAAAACCCAGTCAATGTAGTGTAGTATATACAAGTGGCACATGGTACCAATTTTGTTTGCAGTTTTTACTGAAGTCCTCCAACTGAAGTAGACAAGTTACACCTTGTCTAAATATTGAACTAGTGTAGAATCCAGCTGTAGTAGAATACTGACATTGTCATGCATAGATGTGGCATACTTGTGCTTGACATGCACGTGTTTTCTAAGTAACTAACTCACCATGAGAGAGAGACTGAGATCTGATGATGCTGGTTTGAAGACAGCAGCCCTCCATAACACTCTTATCTCCAGTAAATTACTCAAAAAAGCCAGGAATGGCACGGTGACTCAAATGGTAGAGTGCTCCTTTGAGCAGAAGAAGCTCAAGGGCAGTGTACAAGCCCAGAACTGGCCCAAAAAAAAAAAAAAAAAAAAGTGCATAGCAAAAAGTTCCTGTTGCCATTTGTGAAGGAGGAAAGAGCATTTCACACTCCAACATAGTTCCATCCAGCATTTGACCTCAACATCAACCTCTCCAACCTTCAATACTCTATGAGGGAGGTGTATGGATCCAGGATGGCCCAGACCCAAATTCAAAGGTCTTAGGATCCTCATTTCCATTTGTGTGACTTGGTGTTAATTTCTCTCCTGTGTGAACTCTGATGTCTGCTAAGATCTGACTTGTAGGTAAAAACTTTCCACATTTGTTACATTCATAAGACTTCTTTCATGTATGTTCTCTGATGAACATCAAGGGTTGACTTGTACAGAAAAGACTCCATTAATTGTTACATTTCTAAGATTTCTCTCATGTTTGTGTTCTCTGATGGGTGAAGAGATGGAAGATCCTTCTGAAAGACTTGCCACATGTGCATTCATATGGTTTCTCCCCTGTGCGTGTTCTCTGATGGACGTGAAACACTTTCCACATGTGTTACACTCATATGGTATCTCCCCTGTGTGTGTTCTGTGATGCCTGTGAAGAGTTGATATCCGTATAAAAGACTTTCCACATGTGTCACATTCATGAGGTCTCTCCCCTGATTGTACTTTATGATGCTGACTGAGTTCTGACTTGGAAACAAAAGACTTTGCACATGTGTTACATTCATAAGATTTCTCTCTTGTGTGTATTCTCTGATGGTATTGCAGAATTGGCATCCATTTGAAAGATTTTCCACATGTGTTACATTCATAAGATTTCTCTCCCTTGTGTGTGCTTTGATGTTCACGAAGATTTGACATCCATCTGAAAGACTTTCCACATGTGTTGCATTCATATGGTTCTACTCCTGTATGTATGCGCTGATGGACAAGGAGAATTGACATGGATCTGAAAGACTTTCCACATGTCTTACATACATGAGGTTTCTCTCCTCTATGTGTCATCTGATGCTGCCTGAGTTCTGAGTGGGTGAAAAAATATTTTTCACATTTTTATATGCATAAGATTTCTCTCCTGTGTGTATGCTCTCATGCCTGTGGAGATTTGGTATGCAAACGAAAGACTTTCCACGTGTGCTATATACATAACATTTCTTT